TCCCTACATCTTCATGCTTGAGCATTTGATGGCTTCTGTTTCAGTGTTTCAGTGATTCATTGATTTGGGTTTGTGGATTTTTTGGTGGTAACAATAACAGTAGAGAGATAATACCAGAGCCTTGCAAAGGCTGGAGGCAAGGCAGCAGTGTAACTCTCTCAGTTCCTGCACATGCATGCACGTTTGCTAATTGAGATGGATTTACATCCCACTTAGTGTGCATTACACAGTGAAAGTGCTGAACGGGTCTCTGCAGAGGGGGTTGACCACCTCCTTCCGCTGTACTTCCTTCCTCCTTCTCTCTCTCCTCTGCAAAGGGAAATATTTCTTCAGGCAGAGTTTGCCATATCATTTTAGTAGGAAGCTTCAAAACGAAAGAGTAAGACTCTGTAGCTTTTCTTCGTCTTTGAATATATCTGACTTGAAAGACAATATATGCAGCTTTTCCAGGAGAACTGTTGAGCAAAAGAATCAAAGGGTAATAGAATACTTCAGATAGCTGTAGAGTATTCATTAGTTTGTTCATTATACTTTATAAGGAATGGTGTTAAAGCTTCTATGCATAGATCTTTTGTGTTCTTTCTGATTTTTGGAGAACTCTTCAGTAGTTTAAAGAAATCATCCATAGAGACTCCTATGAAACTTTCATGCCATGTTTTTGCTTTCTTTTTATAAAGTTTTTCTTTGAGATCTACCCCATTCTAACCCAGTGTACCGTAGATGAAGTCAGCTCATTGCTTTGCATGAGATGACTGTTCTAAACCATAAATAACCATTTTAACATGGTAATGGTATGGTAATTTCTAGAATTTAACCAGACCTCCTGGCCACCAGGTATCTGGCATGGCAAAAGCTTAACAAATACCCAGAATATTTATACCCAGCAGATACAAAGTGTTTGCAAAAGCATGTGCTCGTTTTGAGCCTACTGTTCTCTACTCTCAAGTGACCATTTGGCCTCTGCTGACAGAAACAGTAGTTTCTGTCACAGGCTCGCAGGCTTCAGGATGTTTGCCTTGACATACCTGTGTTCCTTGCAGACCAGAGCTGGCTTGTGTTTAGCATCCATGGAAGAGTGGGGAGCGCCTGCACCACACTGAGGCCTCCTGAAGGTTTGGAAGGACTGTTCTGGAAAGGCAGAGCAGCACTAGCAGAGGTGTCTCTGAAACTTCAGAAGTATTAACAAGTCCCTTCTCTGGGTGATGTGAGCTATTCTTATGGTTTTCATACCTGCATAATTGCCTTTAAAGGTGTAGCTAGCTCTGCTCCTGAGCGTGTGAAGCTTTGTGATGGAGACAGTGCCAGCTTTAGACACAAGTGAGACCTAGGTGACCTGAGGGAAGCAGAAGCAGAGAGGTAGCAAAATTGGTTTCGAGTTGTTTGTTATCCTTAATATGTTGTGACTATGTGCTTGGGCTTTGTGGGATCTGAAGTCTGTGAGCTCTGCCCCTTTTTCAGAGCACTGTTAAGTAGTAAAAGCCCCTGCTGAAAACTTTAGCTTGAGTAACTGTGCTTTCCTCTGGCTTCCCAAAATTTCTTGGTTACCTGGCTCTGCTGATCTCTGAGCTTTTTATTCCCTCTTCCTGGAGACCTGGCAGCTGCGTGTCAGAAGTCAGCTTTTTCTGTCTCTGGGCACCAACTCTTTAGCCAGGGAAGCACCATTTTCCCCACACTTCTGAGAAATCTTGAGCTGGGTTTAATTTTAGGTCAGCTTTGACAGAGAAGCTTTAAAAGGCACTTGCAAAGAACAAGGGGACTGGGGCAGGCTGCAGAAGGACAACAAAGCTATTTAGCTTACGCAGGCAGTAGTGCTGCCCTGCCTAAGGGCACTTTCAGTATTGCTTTTTTAACTTAGCTTAATATGACACTTAATATAGGAAATTTTTTGTGGATCCCATTAAGAGGTTTAGTAGCTTGCTCTTCTCTTTATGTATCTATCAACAATTGTTAGCAGTGTTACCTCTTGGCTATAATGTCTAGTAACTTAGAAACACTTGCTATACTTAATAAAATTATATGAGGTAATAGGACATTTAACATTTTACTGTGCTAGTCTTTCTTTTCCTAATATTAGCTTAGTCCCTCTCTGAATTGAATGCTGCTCTTTGGTACAATTTTCTAGCTCATAGGTAAATACCTAGATTGTATTTTATTAAAATTTGTGTTACCACATCAGTGTGCAGGTAGCACATGTACAATATACTTAGTGCAATGTGTTTTTCAAAGTAAGAGTCTCTGCTAAAGCTTTATGGGAATCAATGGGGTTATCCTTGTTGCTTCTTGCATGGAGGTACAGTATCCTGGTAGCTTCTGTCAGGATCACTGTATATCTCATTTCCACATTCACCCTACCTTCCTCTGGCTTTTTGCTTCTCAGACCCTGCTGGCTTATGGCTTTGCTGTTTCATGAAGTGTGGTGACTTGACAGATGTTATAAGATACTCTCAGGTCAATTTACAACTGAATTAAGTATTAAAAGAATTAAAGGCGAGCCCATTTCTTCCTCCCCAAGTTCTGTAAAGCGTAGAAGTGATAGCAGTGTTTTAATGAGAAGCCACTATTACAGGGGAAAGGAAAGTATTTTAATTGCAGCTGTGCTGCTATAGCATTGGGCTGATTGTGCCCTCTCGGTGTAGGTATCGCTAGGAAGGGCTCTGTTTGCTGATCCCCCGCTTCCTGCTCTGTGCTCTGCTCTGCTCTTTGCCCCTGAGACTTGCCAGTAGGTTTTGGGTGCACAGCTGGACTGGAGATTTGGTTTGGGTAATGCTGCTGTGAGATGAAGGCTGCTCGCACTGTAAATCGATCAGCAACTCAGCCTGATTTGAATTGTGACTCTCATAAGCACTTGTGATTACGTGTTTTTTAATGAAGGGAAAAAGGCCATGGGAAGGGTGAGCGAGCATGAGTGGAGACTGCTGCTGCTCCTAGCTGTGATGGTCTGGGGTGGTCACTGAGCCACATCACAAGTTTGGAATGAGGCTCTCCAGGAGCAATGACTCTTGATTACCCAGCAGAGCCTGATGCAGAAAGCACGTACTAACAGAAATGCCAGGAAAGAAACAGTTGGAAAAAAACCTGGTTCTGGAATAAATTTTAAACACAGAGTTTGGTTATTTTCTAGTTAGTAGTATTTAATGTCCTGTTGCAGTAAATGAGTGTATTTATAGAATACATGGAATGAAAGGTTGATGTTGTGGTGGACATGCAGTCAGATAATTGATTTCTGATTACCAGTTTCTCACTAATAAAAAGAAAGCATGTATTTGTGTTTATGCATTTGTGTATGTACACTTCTGTTTATTTCTTGTATGTATGTTTATATTTATGTTGCTTGGGTAGCTACCTTCATATCCATAACTTCGTATTCTGCATGGTATGGAATTTTTTCTTCAGATAAAATTTACTATTTTCTTTCCTGTTTTGTCTTTACTTTTAGACCTGAGCTTTTCAGCTGGGATAAAGTTATAAAGATGTCCCCAGTTGAGAGACTGGAACATGCTTTCAGCATAGCCAAGAACCACTTAGGAATTGAGAAACTGTTGGATCCTGAAGGTGGGATATGGTTATTTTAATTGACTAGGAGCTTTTTTGAGCTCTCTTGGAAGAAATTTCTTGTATTGACATCTACTATGAATACAAATTTTAGCAGTTTTGCACAATGATATTTTCTTTCAAGTCTTTAAATTGAGGTTTAAGAGAATGTAATTTGTCGGGTAAGGGTATGTCTGTGTGTGTATGCTTCAGCTTCTTGAATGTGGAGGTTGGGATTGACTTACCATTCAGAGACAGTATACAGAAGGTGAAGTTGGTGCCCTAGTTTTATTTTAAGTAAGAGTTCTACTGTGCAACGGTCTGTGCTTCTTGAGATGAAGTAGAACATTATGTAGAATGGAATAGCTTAAGAGCTCACAATCTTTTTTTCTTTTCATATACATGAATAGTGGTAGCTGCTAGAGCTGTGAGTACTTAGAGGATAGGAATGCTTACCAGAAAACTTTTACAGCTCGTCTTTAAAATCCTGAGCTGTTGCTCTGCGTTGAAGTGAGCCTCTGAAGTTGCATTCTGTAAGAAAGCTCTCAAACTTTAATGTGAAATTACTTCCAAATGTAGAAAGCATTTTTTTTTCTTCCCTCCTTCATATTGCCTTCAACATGTCAAACATGGCCTTTAAGTTAAAGCTTACTAAAGGCTACTTAAGAGAAGAACCTGTGATTTACACTATATGTAAAGTCTTAATATTCCAAGTAATGATTTAGGAAAGCAGCATCTTCATTTCTCTCTCCCCAATTTTATCTTTTTGCTGCAGATGTTGCTGTACAACTTCCAGACAAAAAGTCTATTATTATGTATTTAACCTCTTTGTTTGAGGTCCTTCCTAAGCAAGTCACTATGGAAGACATCCGGGAGGTGGAGACTCTTCCAAGGAGTGGAATGTGAGGATGGAGAGTTCAACATGCAACAGGTGTGTTTGTCATCAAAGTTTGTCTGGCCTTTCTTGAGCTGTAATTTTAGCTGCTCTTCAGGGATGTCTGGAGAAGGCAGTGGAGCATGCCTTCTATCATGGGGAACACAGTTGGGAAAATATGAAAAATCATAGCATCTTTGTGATTGACTTCAGTTGTTCTGTCTTCCTTTATCGTCTTTTCTGAATTACATACAAAATTCTGTGTGTTGAGATAGAAAGTTCTGTCTTTGTTATGCCTTTTCTTCTGGTTTTCTTTCTTATTTCTCTTAACAAGGTGGAGAAAGTGGCCAAAATAACTGATTTTGCCACAGGACTTGAGGTGATGGTAGTAGTGATGGGTTTTTGGGTGTGGGATCCATTCCTTAGTGGTGACTGTAGCCCTTCTCTTTAAAATGTGTCTATTTTAACATTATGTGAAGGATTAAAAGGAGTCTTAGTTGTTCTATTCTTAGTATGATTTGGGAAGGCATCTTCAATGCACTTCTGAGACGTCACTCTTCTCTTGCTGTCTAGGCTGTGGCACTTGATGAGGAACAGGGCAGTTCTAGAGCAGAGACTCCCAGCACGGTGACAGAGGTGGATATGGACTTGGATAGCTACCAAGTTGCTCTGGAAGAAGTTCTTACATGGTTGCTGTCAGCTGAGGATGTGTTTCGGGAGCAGGAAGAAATATCTGGTGATGTTGAGGAAGTCAAAGAGCAATTTTCCACTCATGAAGTAAGCTTCTCTTGAAAATTCATTGGGTTTTTGATGCATGCTGTTTCTTTTGTCTTGCTTTTTCTAAATGAAATGCACCTCTAAATGAATGTGGTGGTGGTTTTCTTGTTCAGGTGTGTTTTGTTTTTGTTTTTGGTTGTGGGTTTCTTCTTTTGTGGGGGGGGAGAGGTTTGGGGGTTTTGTTTTTTACAAATAATAGCTTCTTGAAAGTGTAATAGAAGATCTATTTCCTAAAAAGACTTTAGGACAACTTACAGTGAAACATGCTTCGAAACTTTAATGTAATTTTTTTATCAGCTTTCAGTGGGTGGCTCACTGGTGTCTTTAATACAAGGACAGCCTGATCCAGTCTGATTCATGCTTCTCTGCTGCCAACTACTAAAAAGCCTGGTCAGCCTTATGTCACTTGCTGTTAAATGAGGACAATGTTGAAAACGATAATCATGTCAATTTAATTCAGTGGTCTCTCTGTCCATTAGCATAGTTTATTTCAGAAACATATGCTGTTTCTTCCAAATTATTCTGGTTTCCAAATTATTTTGCTTTGGTTCTGTTCCAAGTCTGAACAAATGTTCTAATGTTGTGAGAAGTTTCAAGTGTCATGTTAGATGCTTTAGTTTTATCCTGTGTCAGCTTACTGTATACGGTTGAATTTAAAATCTGAATGCTGATCAATATGAAGATTTGTGCTACAGTTTTAAAGCCAGGAACCAAAGGAAGAGGTGTTCTGGGAGTATAGTAAGTGCATGAATCTTTAACTCAGAGAGAGGTACAGGTCTGCCATGCTTATGTGTTTGATGGTGCCAGTTCATTCTGCAGCACTGTTTCAAACGTGACAATTTATTAGGACATTTAGAAATTCATAAACTCCCTTAGGAGCTCATACCTCATGGTGACTTGGCTGGTTGTGCCATTTCCAGGGTTTTATGATGGAACTTACTGCACACCAGAGCAGTGTGGGCAGTGTTCTGCAGGCTGGAAACCAACTGGTGGCCCAGGGAAATCTGTCACCCGAAGAGGAGTTTGAGATCCAGGAGCAAATGCTGCTGCTGAACTCTCGCTGGGAGGAGCTCAGGGTGGAGAGCATGGACAGGCAAGCCCGGTGAGTCATACCCACAATCTCACCTAGAGCTGCAGGACCAACGTCTGGTCTGTGACATGAAATCCACCTTTTTCATGCTTTCCAAAGTGAAATAAAAGAAATTATTATAACTGTGTTTTTATTATTATATAAAAGTATTTTGTGACTTTTATGTAAATGTTCCAGACTATATATGACATCTACATGCAGTAGTTACATAAATGTGGTTTTAATATTGTTTCAGTGGTTTAAGTTCCTCAATAAAGCATATAGTAGACATGGATAACTATGTGTGTTTACAGAACCAGAAGGCACTTAGAAGAATTTTTACCGCCTGTGGGTTATTAAGCTGAGAGCTGCACGTCAAGGGAGAAACTGCATTTTGTTGCAACCCTCAGCAGAGTCTCTCTTAGCAGCAAATTTCTTTGCAATAAACAATCCCCAATATAAATGGCATAGTTCACCAACTCCTTTTTGTTGAGGAAAAAATCCAAGGATACTTAACTGTGTCCCTTAGCTTAATGGGGAACATTGTATTGAATAATAGCTAACTGGTTTATGAATGGCCTTGCTTCTTTCCTATAGGAGCTAGAACTTAGTTTCTTTCCTTGGGAAGACTGTTTCTGAAATAACTCTACCTATGCTTCCCCCTGTAGCCTGCATGACATGCTGATGGAGCTCCAGAAGCAGCAGTTGCAGCAGCTGTCTGACTGGCTGACAGTGACAGAAGAACGCATTCAGAAGATGGAAGCTCAGTTCTTAACGGAAGACTTGGAGTCCCTTCAAAAACAGCTGGAAGAACACAAAGTAAACCTTTTTGTCTGTTATGTAATACGTATGGGAGAAGTATTTGAAAGATGTGTACAGTGGTGGGTTCCTTAGCTGAGAAACTTGATTGTGTCAGTTGTCAATACACAGCTGTGTGCTTTGAGGCTGCATTTGCTGTTTGGAGAAGGATGATAATGGGGTAGAAAGGAATTGGAAGTTTCTGGAAGTGCTTTCTTAACACTTGAGCACTGATGACTATAGCAGAAACTGCTGTCTTGGCTCCATGCAGGAAGCAAAACCTGTAAGGCAAACTGCGTTAGCCTCACCTCGAGCAGGAAGCCAGGCTTCTCCAGGTAAATTGTTGGTGTGAGGGATAGTATGGAAGGTACTGTGGACAAACTTGCCTTCAATGTCTGGCAAGCATTGCTAAAGCATGCTTGAGACTTACACGTTAAAATAATGCAGGAGTTAAGCCATCAGGAAGGGCCTCCCAAGTCACTGATTCCAGTCCCTGCTTTTACAGGGATCACATCCTAAGGGGATGCATGGACGCTGCTCTCTGATGTGGCACAAAGTTTCTGAAGTGGTTTAGCTCTCTACTGAGTATCCAAATGAGAGTCCAGCCTTTCTAGCCTGCAGTGTTTTGGTTTTTTTGAAGGAGTAAGATGGCCTTTTGAGACTTGTCTTGGTTGCAGCTTTGGTTTTCATAACCACTCCTGAGGTTTGACCTTCTCCCCAGCATAGGACATATCTCACAGGGCAAGAACTGTGGAGTATTTTTAGTTTGTATAATTTCCTGTGCCACATTTGCATTCTTTCCTCTGTCTCCAAAGTCTGGGGAGTTTGAGGTGTGTTGTTCATGGAGTAGCTTAGGATATTCTGGTATGAAAAGTGATACTTACAGTACTGTAGAAGTATATTGATCTGGCAGAGATATTTTGGAGGTAGGCTTTAACCATGGAATCTATTCTTCCAGAAGCTGTATGAATACTTAAATCTAAAAATTATTGAAAACTAATTAGCACTGCATGCCTTCTGCAATTTTCAATTATTCTTTTTGAACATCAGTATCATTTACAGCGCTGTTGATACTTACAAGAATTATGTTGTCAACTATTAAAAGACAAATGTTCTTAATGATTTTTCCCTGTTTGACATGCCCTATGGTATTTGCTTATTAAGAATAATAGCTTTTTATAGAAACATGCTCTCTCACCTGTAACAGTAGATATATAGAAGGTCAATGCAGTTGTCATATGAGTCTTCTAGTCAAGTAGGGTGCATACAACTTAAACCACTCCTTCATGTTTTCCAACATTTTACCAGGATTGTTTTGAGTGCACTTCTAGCAGTCTTTTGCTTACATTTATTTAAACTGTGAAGTGATTCCCAGTGGTAAAATCTGTGCTTAACTGTTGAATCTCAAGTACTTTGCCACAGCAGTTGTGTTAGACACTGTGGCCAAAATAGCAGACTAGCAAATGTAATCAAGGTTGGTAACCTCTGATTTGTTCTTCTAGAGCTTGCAGAGTGACTTAGAGACAGAACAGGTGAAGGTAAACTCCCTAACGCACATGGTTGTCATTGTCGATGAAAGCAGTGGGGAAAGTGCAACAGCTGTTCTGGAGGAACAATTGCAGGTAAAATGTTGAAGCCCTCTTTTTTAAATCTAGTAGCAGGCACTTAAAACCTTTCCATACAACTGTAGTCAAAGTTTTTCTGTTCAAAGACAATTTATTCTAGAAAAGTAATTTAATGTTTTTTTAAAGTGATATTAACATAAATAACTTTTAAATTTCCTCATGGTAGAACCTGCAGAAGTGCTGTGGTGACTTTCAACTCAATTCCTGATGAGTCACACTGTTTGTATTCGGGGTGACCTAGGTGGTTTTGTAGTGTATCCTTCCAGCAGTTTCATTAAAATGGGAAAATGCACCGTACAGCTCTTAATTTTCAGTAGGAAGTTAAAATCTGTTGGGGAAATATATTTAGAGGCATGAGCACAATTTAGGTGGGGAATGCCACTTGAAGTAGTTTCCTTTTTTTCTGTTAGAATTTAGACCATAACCTGAAGTATAGGGAGTGTGAAACAGAATTTATTGAAGCAAAATCCATGCTACCTTGCTGGCTCCTTTTGAAATTAATCAAATAGCTCACTGACTTCAGCAAGAGCAGAGATAATGCCACAGGTGAATGCTCTTGAAAGTTTTAATGTCCAGCTTTGTGCAATACAACGATGGTGATTACTGGCAAGGAGGTAGCTATAATGTAGAAAGAGGTAACTGCAAAGTAGAAATTATGCTTTTGAATATCTGTGTTTTGGGCTTTCTTGTGAGGCTTATGAGTGTTCATGAGTTTCCTGCTTTTGTAGAGGCTTGGTGAGCGGTGGACAGCAGTATGTCGTTGGACTGAAGAACGACGAGTCAAGTTGCAAGAAATTCAGCTTTTGTGGCAGGAGCTGCTGGAAGAGCAGGTTAGTAGCATTTTAGTTAACCACAGTGACTCGTTGATTTGTGGAGGGGAAAACCCACCAAACACAAAAAAACCTCAAACCACTTAGTAAGCTTTAATAGCTTTCAGGATAAAAGCCTTGATAAACTAGATTTTGTGTCACTGTTTGGGCTCCCAGTGTTCCTTGAGGAGTAGAGTAGCTGTGCAGTGCAAGAGAAGTATTTTCCAAAGTTTAAATTTGAATGTTTAGAACTCCTTATCAAATAATTTCCAAGGTAGCTTGCAAAATGACCAAGAAGTGGGAATATCCATGATAGCAAAATGACAGTGAATCACCAAGTATTTAGTGGTTTGATAATTACAGAAATATATGTACTTCCAGCATGCATATGTGTACACAGTTGTGCAATCAATTAATCAATAGATGCTGTTTTCCAATTCATAAACCACTTGGTCAATATAGTGAAGCATGCAGTTCATCTTTTTGCTGAGTTTAGACAAACAGTTGAATTATGCAGAAGACAGCATTATGAGATTTTCCTGCTTTGGTATCACATATTTTACATATTATGTATATTAAATATACTGCTCAAACACAAACTAGTTATTGGCATGAAAAAACCCATGGTAACGCAGCTGCATACGTTAGGTCTGCGTGCCTAGTATGAGAGCTTGTTTTGTGTCTCATCTTAAAAAATTTGATGGTTTCTCCTTTGAAGGCTTTACTTATATTATTTTATTTTCTTAAAAGATGGTATTTATCACTGTAAGCTATTGTTCAAACTCTGCAGTATACACAGATTGTTTAGACATTTGAAAGAAGCAGAACAGTGCTGATATAGCTGTTGCTATCAGTTACAGCCTGGCTTCTTTGACAGGGTTGTTTTGTCCACATTTTCGGGGTTGCATATGTGTTTCTCCTTGACCCCTTCCATATCTATTGATAAGCTAAATTTGCAGCTGATGTGACCTTGCTTTTTATATGGATCTGAGATTCAGATTCTTGTTTATCTAATGCCAAGTGTCTATTTAGATGTATTTCTTAACTGCATTGGCATGTGTACATACATACAGAAAATTGTGTGCTAACATTTTCTGGCAACTGTTGGGCAAGATAAGTCTCCGAGTTGAGAAATAAGGATTCCTAAAAAATCTTTGCTCCGTATGTTAAGATACAGACAGTACCTCTCAGTTTGTGCTCTCAGTTTTGATGACCTTATGCGAACATGCTTCTGTCCTCTTCCGCTGTTACGTTTGTCTGGGGAAAACTGACCACTCTGAATATTAACACTACAGTAAAGAGTGTCATCTGCTGTTGGAGTTGCTTTGCATTCAGCTTTTTTTAGTTTGTATGTAATTACTGTAAAAGTGGAAAATATAAAAATCTGTGTTTATTTAATGTAGAATCTCAGATAACAAGTGATGAGGAAATAGAAGTTTATTTTAGGTGGTTTAGATCAGCCTGTATTTGCATTCGTTGTTCAACTATGAACAGTGCATTTATTACTAACAGGTTTGAATTACAGTTCTCTGTCCTTGAGAATTGTCAAATGAGCTACAAAAGTTACAATTTGAAACTAATTAAAACCTTTAATACAAGCACTTTGTTAACACAAAAGTATCTAAAACATTTAGGTACTATCATTTTGCATTTTGTCCAACCAGATGGAGAGATGAGCAGGAGAGATGAGCAGCAGTGATGCATCAGCCTTTTTGTGGCTCCCTAGAAAAATTTTGAAAACCACATTGCCAAGTCAACACAATTCTCACCACTTGGGAAACAAGTTCCTCAATCAGTGCCAGATATTTCTTAGCACTGTGATAATTATGTTTCAATTTTCTAGGGAGAGTTATCTTTGACTGCTGATTTAGCAGAAATTAATCCAATACATTGAAGGGGTTTTAAGCTCCTCTTATGCATAAATATGTTGGCTGGAATACCAGTGTGATTTTTGCAGGGAATATGTGGTGTTACAGTTTTGTTTCTCACAGCCTTATGGCATTTCCACCACCATTATATTTGTTGTCTGTACATTTTGCATAATGGTTTACATTGGCAGTGTAAACTGCCTTAACCCTTTGGCCCAAAAGTTGCTGTAGTCAGTTCTGGGACAATGCCAAAAATGCGCAGCTAGACTGAGGAGCCTAGTGGATGATGTAGTGTGTTGTTCAGAGAACAAAAAGGTCTGCCTTCCTGTATTGTTGTATTTTTTTTAAGGCAGAGGAGTACCAGTGTGCCAGTGGCTATGCAACTGAGTGGGATAGAGAGCTGATTATTCTAGTCTGTGGAGAGAGCTGTGTAGCAGCAGCAATATGTTGCAACATAACACAGAATGTATAAAAATCCTTCCTGATACCTGGTGCCAGTTATTGCTGGAGTTCCCATAGTAGTGCTGTATGACTGAAGAGAAGTGAGACCCAGGACAGTTTTCTAAGAAAGAAGTAGAAAAAGTGCAAGACCTCTGAGTTTGTGCTATTCAGAGCAGGACACTCCAGCTTTCAGTAGTTAATGAGATAGTATTTGCAGAAGTTATTTTGCAATTGGATGTAGGTACAGTAATCTACAGTCATTACATCAGTAAACAGTAGAAGACTGATTAATATCTGAGTGTTTTACTGACGGACTAGACTAAGAGCTCTGAATTATCAGTGGTATAGCTTCTGTGAAAAAATGTCTGTAATCACAGAGGAAGAGGGTGAAGAACGGAAATGTGTATAACATTTTGATATATTTAATTGTAATATAAGTCCTACATCAGCTTTATGCTGGATATCTGGTTACTATAAGAAATTTTGGGGGGGCGCACTCTGATATATTTAGAAATGGTTTTGTTGAAATACTTTTGCTGGAAAGTATTACTTAATTCTCTGATCTGATATTTCCTCTCCCCGCTCCTTTAGTGTAGTATTTTTGTGAATGCCAAGTGAAATGTAAAGACAGCAGAACTGTGCTTTCCATGCAGAGATCTTAAAGAAGGAGTTGTCAATAGTGGTTTGACAAACTTGGTGCTTTCTTGTGCTATTTTTCTTATGATCTGCAGTGCTTATTGAAAGCTTGGTTAACTGAGAAAGAAGAGGCTTTGAGTAAGGTCCAGACAAGCAACTTTAAAGATCAGACGGACTTGAGTGTGAATGTTCGAAAACTAGCAGTGAGTATTGCTGTATCCTGCTTTATCCTGTCAGATCTCATAGACTAAATGAATGGCAAATTCCCAGTTTGACCACAGTAGGAGCTGTGAATGCATGATACTTTGGAAGCAAGGCCAATATTCTCTCCTTGCCAGATTCTTTCACTTGAATTTTAAAAAAATGTGTACCGCTTTCTCCGTGGCTATTCCAGGTTGTTGTGCTAAACTTTGGAACAACTATCCTGGATTTCTGACAGGGTTTGGAGTTTTTTTTGCAGGCCACCAGTCACCTGTGTTTTCCAAAGTGTGGGTTTGGGTTTGTGGGGTGATTTGTTGGTTTTGTGGTGGTGTTTTGTTGTGGTGTGTTGTTTTTTTGGGTTTTCTTTTGTTTTGTTTTGGTTTTTTTTTTATTTATTTATTTTTTTTTTTATTTTTTTTTTTAATTTAATATATTGGTGTAGCTTGTAACTGAGCTAATAATTTGTAACTGTTAGTCAAGAGATACTGCTGATTGCTCTAGGAGCTGTTTCAGTGACATGCTCTTTTTAAGAGTCTCTGTTAACGCTTTGTTACATGAGAACTGCTTTGAAACCTGTGATGCATCTGGCTGAGGTGGTACACTCCCTGACCCTCAACATGGAATTAAAAGCTAAGATGCAGCAGAATACTTGATATTATTTTTTAATGTTTTCTTTTAACTTCAGATTTTGAAAGAGGACATGGGTATGAAACGGCAAACACTAGACCAGCTGAATGAGCTAGGTCAGGATGTGGCCCAAATCCTTGGGAATGACAGAGCATCCAGTAAAATTGATCAGGATCAAGAAGAACTAACTCAGAGGTGGGACAGTTTGGTTCAGAAGCTAGAGGATTACTCTAATCAGGTACCTAACAAGGCGTTATTACTTTCTAGTTTAGATGCCTGTGTGTATGCAAACCTCATTGATACTGTCAGAAAAATTGCCTAGGTGAGTTCTTTGCATCAGGCTAGAGAAGTAGGTGAATGCTCTTCCACATGGGGCGGACTTTATCTGCTGACAAAGCTGTCTGCATTTTTTTGGTCTTCGAAACCCCAATTCATTGACCTGACTAGTACTATTACTCCTTTCTCACACAGATTAAGCTTCATTTTTCTGATGAGTAAAGCAGGCTTGCCAATCAATGCAAATGCCTTTAAGCATTCTAAGAGTGCTGGGACTGGATCAAATCTGATACTAAAAGAAAGCAAAGACAAAACCCAAACCCCAAAATAGATAAATAAATGGGAGTCATTTATGCTCTATGAGTATGATTTCTCGTCTGTTGAAAATAGAGTAGTTGTTTGTTTGATATGTAATGATGATAGCCAAGCTGGATTGTTAAATGTTTATTTTAGTGTTTTGAGTGCTTGGTAATGTTTTTATTTAGGCAGAACTCCCATTGGCTTCTGTGAGAGTTTTGACAGTTTTATGACTCATATGCCCCTTTTTTTGTGATATTAAAATGTTAATATGGTGAAGGCCGTGGCACTGATTCATGATCCACTTATGGGAGAGTGAATGTCTGAGTAGGGTTCCATTTCAGCCATGTGGCTTTAATTTGTTCTTGCATTTGAGTCAAAGCACTGGAGAGTGCCAAATCCTGTCTTCATCCTTTCACTCCCCCTAAATTTCAAGCACATAGTTAGAACTTACAGGTTGATTCCTATGGGACTTACTTTATAACCCATTAAAGAGGTTTTCTATTGACCCAAGTGACTTTTTAGGTTAAATCCACTGTGTATCAGCTCTTTCTGGTATCTAGGCTTGGTTTTATGGGTTGAATATAAAATATAGAATTGTGTGTTAATAACTCCAAAGGACCTTGGTTCTTTCTGTGAACCAAGCAATTATGAAACAAAACAGATATAGTGCTTATTTTGTTGATGTTAGTTCACTTGGACTGGCATGAAATTCTATTGAGCTGAGAACTTTGATGCTTGGTTCCCATTCATAAAAGGTGAATAATGAAGTAGTTCTCTGAAATGTGTCTGATGAAGATGCTTCATGACAGCTAGGTGTGGCCATTTGTAGGAGTGAATGAATGGGCTTTTATGATTGAGGAATAAAAGGAACCAAGCAGAAGCAATTCAATTTGTGTTTAAAAATGTCATTTAATCCTTTTGCTGACTTATTTTGCATAGGTAACTCAAGCTGTAGGAAGCATAGGGATGTCACAGGTTTCACAGAAGACTGCAGTGGAAACACCATTGAAGGAACAGGTACTGGTTAAACAATCCAGACAGGAGCTGCCCCCACCACCCCCGCCAAAGAAAAGGCAAATCCCAGGGGACAGTGAAGCAAAGAAAAAGTAAGTATATGTCACTGCCATTTTCCCTGCCTCAGTAGATACCACATAGACTCCTGCCTCTTGGTCTTGGCTTTTTTATGTAAGGAATACTTAAGCTGCTATTGTGAGCTTGGGTTTGGGGAACAGGAAGGGAATGTTACCCACAGCCTTGTTTTTAGAGCAACAGAAAGTCTGCAGCTTACATTAATTTCAAAGGGAAATGAATGTTCTTTTTCTAAAAAAATGCAGGTCTTCAATCCTTTGTACCTCAGCTCCTTTGCTTAAAGAGAGAATTAATTCTATTTACTTTCTTTCAGAAAAACATCTTCTCATCTTTAGTTAAAAAGTGTTGTGAAAGTGCCAAATGTTTTGATTTATTTATTATTTCTTTCTATTCTCAATTAAATATATATGCAGGGAGAAACTGCACCAAAAAAAAAAAAAAAGGCTCAGAAACCTGTTCCATCTCCCTCATATTTAGTACCAAGATTAATATTACAGTGATGTTTCCTTTCACAAGTATACCTCGAGCGGCTGACTGACTTGCATGTACAGAATCATAGAAAATGGTTTGGGTTGGAAAGGACTTTAAAGATCACCTATTTCCCTGACATGGGCAGGGTCACCTTCCACTAGACCAACTGGTGTGGGTGGTGTGTGCAGGTAGGTGTCCCAGGGCAGTAAAGCAGTCAGCAATCCATCTGTCCATTCTCCCTGCATGTCTCACAAGTTGTAGAAATTATTTTAGACTTGGAAAGCAAAAGTGATTTGATCTGTTATCACAGTTTTCCTACAGTTCAAACTATTAAGGACAGGGTCAGTTAAAACAGGCTAAACGTGCTGATTTTTTTGCCTGATCCCAGTTACTTATGTTAAAAGCAACAAATGGCCAGGAATTAGAATTTTGCAGGTTTTCCTATGAAAACTTTGAGTGACCCTCAGCCACTTTTGCATTTGTTGGTAGGTTGTTACGCGATGTTAGGATTTACACTGTATTAAGTAGTATAATTGCATTGTGCGCCTGACATGTGGTCTGTATAGTATATCTATCCTTCTCTAAAGTTGTATACAGTATTGGTTAATTTGGGAGTTGGGGTTTTTGGGTTGGTTTGTTTGTCTAGTTTTGGTTTTTGGTGATGGCAAGTTGTAGCTTAGTGCTTTTAGGCATAAGAAAGCTATGTTAATATAGACATAATCACCGTATAAAAAATATTAAGCTATAAGCTAATCTTTAGTCAGCTGAGTGCTCGAAAAGGTTTGTTCACTGTCAGTGTCATGAGTGCTTAAGCTGACAGCTTTTTCTTCAGACCAAGTAGTGCTGTAGACTTTTACAAAATCTAGAACCGTTGTTCTTATTTGTCTTGTCCCTGAGGTTTAGTTTATTACTTTCAAAATGCTCAGCATTAAGAGATCTCTTTTGTGACTTATGAAAGAAACAGTAATAGTTTGCATGAAGGTATGTATAAAAAAAAACGAAGAAATAAATTGCACCGTACATTCTCAATTTGCTCCTGAAGGTTAATACCATAGATATAATTATTACTATGGCAGGTTTTGGAAAGTCTGTCCTACTGCCTGTGAGTAGTAATATGAGAAACATGAATTTTGTGTGCAGCTTTACTGTTTTGGGATTGAGTAATGTGCTGAACTTTAACACTGTCTTAAAAAT